GGGGGCGGGGGCTGGTCGTCTCGTTAATAATGCACGCGACAGCGGCTCCCACATATCGCTGATTGGCCAGCCACGCGGTGAGCGCGAGCGTCCCCCGAGCTGCGCCCGACGCCCGCGCCGTAGGCAAACCCTCGCGCGCCGCCGCCACGGGTATTGATATAGCCGGCGGGGGCACCGCTACGTCACGACACGCCACACTCCCGGGGGCCGCCCCCGATAGCCGACTCTGGTCGACGGCAGCGACGCGCTCAGGTGAACAAGTAGTCTATTTACTATTCAATAGCCAGACTGTCAAACGTTTCCCCTGTCACGTATACAGGCTAGTAAACTGATTATTGGGTATGGGACAACTACTGCTAAACGTATCGAGAGAGTTGAGCGGAGTTGAGTTGGGGAGCGGAAATGAGGCGTCGGACTTGAATGGAGCAGGACGTCACCCCGAGGCCGAGGGCCTCGCCTTGCCTAAAGGCAAACAAAACAACGAACCTTAACCCATTGGAGGAACATGTACGATATGTGCGAGGCAAATCATAGCCAAACAAACCAGCTCCATCGACTTAAAAAGAGTAACTGCCCACCTTTACCAAAGTTTATGACGATGGTTGAGTTATTAAAATTGAATTAAACCAGAATGTAAATTGTATCAGTGTGATATGTCCATGCACTAACCTAGACCACGACACCGCGGGACCGCGGGACAATTTTGAAGGAGTGTGTAAACTTATTTTCGTAAAGGCAAAATTTATAGAACCACTCTTTGAATCAACAACACAAACACAATGCAATCTACGTGAAGTGAGAGCCGATGATCACATACCCACTAGTTGCAAAACAAAACAGGGTCGCCTTGCGTTCTGCTTTGTTTGGGGACACGCACACGCGGGTATGAAAAATCCAGCTCACACTTTACTCTTAGTGGTGGATTTTAGTCTCGTGTGACCCTTAACCCTCGCGGTGAGGTGGCCTCAGAGGTTTTGAGGACTGTGTTTGGCTGAAAACAAGCCAGCGGCCTCAGTGAGCCGGCCTCACCGTGAGGGCACGGGTCACTCGAGTAAATCCACCATTACAGACTCATTGCCGTGTTGGTTCTGTTTCAAAGTTAAAGTAAACGCAATCCTACGACTGCTTGGACAAAATCTGAATCAACAAACAACGTTCAAAAGTACGAAGACACTGATGATACGAGAGTAATGTGAGTGGTAAGTGTTCGGGTGGGCGGGGTAGCAGCATAGACGTCTCGTCTCACCTCAGCTGAGGCCGAGACTGTGGCCGCTTGTGCCGCTTGTGCTCGTGCTGTGATTGGCTACCCCAGCTGGGCAAGCCAATCACAGTCCGCAAAACCTCTCACCTAAAGTGACGCTATACGTTCTCTTTGCATCACGACACTGAATCCATCATTCCAGGCAGGCTGCCGCGCGGCGATAGGGGTAGCGGCGTAGTGGCGTCATTTTCGGCGGGCGGCGGTGCGGTGGGTAGGTGGGTAGGTGGGGTGGGTGTAGGAAGTGGAGGCGATAAAGGGGTGAAAGTGAGTAGGCTGACTGATCGGCCGGTGGCCGCATCCGCTCTGATATTAAGGGTAGTAGTCGGGCTGTGCGCCGCCCACGTCACATCGTGACTAGAATCGGTTTTAAACTATGCAATTTATTTAATTTCTACAACTCACGACCACGACGGCACACCATTTTTTACACAGTCCCCTAAAGACTGTCTCTACCAGAAGGAACAGCCCCCCCCCTCTACCTCCTTGCTATCCACAGCGCACAGCAGGCGACCGGCGTGTGTCATTCATTTTTGCTTTTCAAGAATATTCCCTTTAACTATTTTTGGCTTTAGCGGTTGAGTGTTCGTGGCGGAGTGCTCGTACCCGATCTGTGCGGATGGCAGTGTGACGTCACGCCTCACGCCGCCCCTCAGACCCAGACAATGGACGGATCACCAGCCTCCCTCCTTCTCTTCCTCCGCCCACATGCAGTCGCATTTGAACCTCACTCTCCATCTCCCCGCCCCTCTCGCCCAACGTAAAAGGGAGCTGCATGAAGGCTTGTGTTAAACCCAGGCACTATCGATCGTTATCCACTGACAAAGTTGCCTAACTATGCTGCTCTCTGAGGTATTGTGGGAAAGGGGGGAGTGGGGCTGCACTCATAGCGTGCCTTGCAAAACGAAACGACCGCTTACTCGAAGCGGCTTTTGTACTTAGAATGACCGAAATCCCTGGTGTCGGTTTGGATGTCCACATATACTCTCAGACAGACATTTTTAGGCCTTTGTAAATGGAGGTGGAAGACGTAAAGAATATAAATTTTAAAAATACAGTATTTATTACGTTAAAAAAGGTTTCCTGAGGTACATAAACCCGCACAAATAAGCACGGTCTTCAACCAAACCAAAAAAAGCCAACAATGGTAATGGTCCGAGAGTGACACTTTCTTGCGCTCGAACTCGCTACGGTCTTATCAATGCTCTCCGAGCAGCGTCGTACAGTGCACATTCTTTTTACCTAATTCCGCCGGGACCAAACTTACTTGCGAGTGAGATAAACGCAATCGTTGAGCCGCGTTGACAAGCCATGTGCTCGTCAAGCCACGCTGTATGAGGCCATTGCAGTTCATTTTTAGGGCTGTTTTAGCTCAGACGGGTCACAGGGATATTTTTGTAACCACAATCATTGTAACTACACACTGCCCATCGCCCCATATATTGATTTTCAGCTCGCCCTTAATTCTGCTTTGAAAAGGCAAAATAAAAGCGGCCTTATTTTTGGAGGGATCGGGAAGGGGGTTGGTCACAGTGCGCTATCCGCCGTGACTCCGCCGTACACAACCAGCCCTAAGATCGCAGATCGCAATACGGTATTCCGTTGAAGCAGAACCTAAAGAGGAAAAACTTGACTGCCTGGTCTGTTTCCTCCTGCGCGCTCATTGGCTGTGCGCCACACCGGCGTCATCGTCGGCCTATATCTGCGCTCATAGAAGGGAACAGATTAAGCAGACGTGCTTTTCTTCTTTAGGTTACGATCGTCTTGCAACGGAATAATACCCTATTCGAGTTTCGTATTCCCTTTTGGGCCATCGCACATTGCAGACTCGTACCTGCTGGTAGGTGGGGTTGGCGGCGTTGGTGCCCATGCTATGCTCCCCTGCTATCTCTGATGAGGTGTTAATCCTTGCTCGGTCGACGCACGCAGCACGCGGGGGCGTCGTTGGGCAGGCGGGGGCGGCTGGGGGTGGTGGGGGTGCACTGTAGGGGTGGCGGCGGCAACATGGGGCGGGGGCCCGCGCCTGTCGCGACGTCTCCGTTTACGCCTGCTTCGGAGCGGGCGGCGCCTGCGGGGCGGGCGGGGACGTCTGCCGTCGCGCTACTACTGGACCGGCGCCGCGGCGCTCCCCCGGGGCCCGCGGCCGTCCCGGCGGGCGCGGCGTCGCGGCGAGCCGGCCCACGTGACCAGCGTCCCGGGGCCCGGCGGGCCCGGGGAGCCTGGTGCAGGGCCGAGGACACCGTCCAGGGGCACCACGTCCCGGCGCACCTGGGGCTCGGGTGGCGGTCCGGCGCGAGAGGTCCGCCCCGCCCCTGTCCCGCCCTACCCGCCCCGCCCACGTCCACGCGTGCACAGCGGGTGGCACGTAATTTGTATACATTGGCAGTTTCCATGGTGACGTCACCGTCGTCAACGTCATCAACACCCTCCAAGTAGCGGGGCGCCGTCCGGCTGCAGCACATGCGGTCGGCGTGGCTTTGGGTGGCGTCTCGTCGTGCCGCGGAGTGAAGGGGGGGG